TATCATAAAGAATTTTATGATAAAAGTGCTAAATTTGAACTTTGATTTAATATATCATTATATTCGTTATTTGGCGTATTTTAACCTATAAACTTTCATTCAATCTATACCATCGTGTGACATAAATATAATTAATATCCTGGAACTATATGTGTAAATTGTTTCTCCTGAACTTGTGTCAATTTAGATAAGTTCTATTTATGAAGCTTTTCCTTTAAAGTCGACATGTGTCATTGTTGTCAGATTAACTCATGCATTTACTTTGTCCATCTTATACCATATATCTTTCAACTTAATTATATTACGTAACAGGATTAACTGGTCATACCAGATCGGACACTGCATTCAGTCTCAGACAAAGGACAGCTAAATTGGCTTACCTGGTCGGGTACGGCCGAAGTCTGAAAGGCCGATTGCTATGAATGACACTTAATTGCTTTTGTGTAAATGTACTTAGGACACGATTATGATTTGTAACTTCAGTTAGGAGCTAGGCATCGGACTGCACGGGTGTGTTTTTGGATACTCCGGAAAACATCCACCGACCTAGAGAAAGTTATTCTAATAAATTTATATTTGGACCATACAACATCTCCAGAACTTTTACTTTTCAAATTGTATAACAATACCTCACAAAAGTGTTGTTATGAATTGATCCCTCTGTTGCATTTTCGCCATTCATAAAAAAATCAATAAAACGAACCTCGTCTCTGAAGCATCCTCTTTTTTGTTTATAACTTTGAAACTGTAAATATCTTACTTAATGAAACAAAGCTGACAAACAATAGAAACAGAGGAATAATTAGCAATATATCAGCTGCTAATGAAGTACTTCGTACAGCTACGTGACACCTGTCACCGATGATCAACGCAGCGAAAAGGGTTTTCCATAATGATCAATGTTGATCACTTATTTTCTATTCATGTCTTTATATTCTAAACAGCTTTTTGATTTTTTTTTAATTGCTTGTAAATGTATCAATTCTTCAAGGTGAAGTTTAGTAAAAGGGTGACTGACCTCGACATACTGTTGTTTAAACATAACAACAAGTCGTATACCAAAGCAAGCACGTAAAGACAACGACAGAAGCTAATAATACCACCCAAAACTCAACAGAAACATATCAACCGCATGCATCAAAAAGAGGAGATACTTATTTCTCCCACCCTTCACAGGTGTGTCTCCCTGTTAAGCCGGGGAAGATCAGCCTTCTCCCACCCTTCACAGGTGTGTCTCCCTGTTAAGCCGGGGAAGATCAGCCTTCTCCCACCCTTCACAGGTGTGTCTCCCTGTTAAGCCGGGGAAGATCAGCCTTCTCCCACCCTTCACAGGTGTGTCTCCCTGTTAAGCCGGGGAAGATCAGCCTTCTCCCACCCTTCACAGGTGTGTCTCCCTGTTAAGCCGGGGAAGATCAGCCTTCTCCCACCCTTCACAGGTGTGTCTCCCTGTTAAGCCGGGGAAGATCAGCTTTCTCCTACCCTTCACAGGTATGTCTCCCTTTTAAGCCGGGGGAGATCAGCCTTCTCCTACCCTTCACAGGTGTGTTTCCCTTTTAAGCCGGGGAAGATCAGCCTTCTCCTACCCTTCACAGGTGTGTCTCCCTTTTAAGCCGGAGAAGATCAGCCTTCTCCCACCCTTCACAGGTGTGTCTCCCGTTTTAAAGATCAGCCTGTCACCTCCTAGGAGGAGATAGCCTCGTGCTGATTAGCACGTGTTCGATTGTGACGTCATTAAAATGCATCACCGGTAATTGTGACGTCATCAAAAGTGAATGACGATATTCATACCCCATATGTGTTTTTGTTTACACTACTGTTGGTGGAGTTGTGACTGAAATAAAAGGATGGGAGAAAAATAATAATCCCCTACCTTGAGGGTGTAACAGAGAAATCTCCAAACCTTAGGGTGAATTTTTTGGTTGTCTAACCCGAGGCTAGACAACCAAAAAACATCACCCCTCCGGTTGGAGATACCTCTATCACACTCTCAGGTTAGGGGAAAATTCTATCAATTCTCCCACACTTCACAGGTGTGTCTCTCGTTTTAGCCAGGAAAGATAAGATTTTCTCCCACCCTTCACATATGTGTCTTCCGTTTTAGCCGGGAAAGATCAGCTTGTCACCCCCTAGAGGGAGATAACCTCGTGCCAATTAGCACGTGTTCAATTGTGACGTCTTTAAAATGCGTCATTTGTTATTGTGACGTCATCAAAAGTGAATAACGATATGTATATACCTCCCATGTGTTTTTGTTCACAAACATGGCAGACTACTGTCGGTGAAGCTGTAAATGAAATAATAGGATGGGATAACAAAATAATAACCCCCTACCGTGAGGATGTAACAGAGAAATCTCTTAACCTCGGGGTGATTGTTTTAGTTGTCTAACCCTCGGCAGAGCATCGGGTTAGAAAAACTAAAAAACGTCACCCCTCGGGTTGGAGATAAATCTATCATACTCTAAGATTAGGGGAAGATTCTATTAATTATCCCATCCTTCACAGGTGTGTCTCTCGTTTTGGCCAGAAAAGATAAGCTTATCTCCCACCCTTCACAGGTGTGTCTCCCGTTTTAGCCGGGAAAGATCAGCTTGTCACCCCCTTGGAGGAGATAGCCTCGTGCCAATTAGCACGTGTTCAATTGTGACGTCTTTAAAATGCGTCATTGGTATTGGACGTCATCAAAAGTGAATAACGATATGTATACCTCACATGTGTTTTTGTTTACAAACATGTTAGACTACTGTCGGTGGAGCGGTATATGAAATAATAGGATGGGATAAAAAATAATCATCCCCTACTTGAGGGTGTCACAGAGAAATATCTAACCCTCGGGGTGATTGTTTTAACTTCTTTTTTTTTAATTTACATTTACAACAAATAGGCATATTCAATAAGCGAAACCTAAGGTTGACGTACCCCCTGAAAGACAGTGAGTCAGTGCTGTATCCGGCAGAGCCTCGGGTTAGATAACCAAAAAACATCACCCCTCGGGTTGGAGATTTCTCTGTCACACCCTCAAGGTAGGGGAAGATTCTATTATTCTCACGTTAGCATTATTGAATAGAAGAATATTATTTAGTATGTCATCGTGCATGCGTTATTCCCGTTTTTTCCCATCTACCGTACATGATTATAACCTTGTAGATATCCTGTGTTAATGTCATCAGTAATTTGAACGTCCTGTAATCAAATTACCATCATACAACACTGATAAAACAATGTTTCATTATGATATCAGTTCATATAGTATGGCAGGTATTCAGACCAATTTACTTGTACTGTAAGCAGCTTCTTGTCTGTTTACCTCAATCAGGTCATATCTCTCTAGAGAATTGTCGACTGCAAGCAATTCGACGTTAGAAGTAACTTTGTCACGAATATCCTGTACATGAATATGCAATAAGGATAGATCTGGCCCCAACACTGACCTTTACAATACCCATGTAATGGCCACATTGTGTCTACACTACCAAATGCTTTGCTTATATCGCAGAAGATCGTTTCAGCTTAATATCCTCTTATAATAATAGGTAGCTCTGCGCAGGTTAAGCTGACGCTGTCAATGCCACCTGGCCGTGACCATGTTATGTTGGAAATTGCCTTAGCCGTTGTATTACTTTGTGTGACATGCTTTGTTTAGGAGAAGGTATAAAATAAGCAACACCACATACGTAGAAATATAAACGACAAAAGACAAACGGGTCGTGTTCCACTGATACAGCCCCGACTACACTGTCCTTCAGGGGGTACGTCAATCGTAGGTGTCGCTAATTGAATATGCCTATTTATTGTAAATGTCAATTAAACAAAAAAGTTAAAAAATGTTCGAATGGGTGTAATACTTGTTAGTCAGTCTGTTCCTTAAAAGCTTTCTGTTGTTTAAAATGATATTTTTATTTTGTCAAAGTTTTTAGTCTTTTACAAAAATGATTTAATAGATCAATTACCTTCTATCAAGCTAACTGAAATGCGCGTTCATCATCTCTCGTTTAGTATATTCTAATAGGGGGATTAAGTGCAAATAACCTATTGCCATTCTAACGGTTAATGTTCAGAGTGCAATATTTACCGTCTGTACAAGGTACTGTATAGAATATTATAAACCAATAATAATAGAATATCAGCTAATGGTTCCAAGTACAACAGGTAGATTAACCTATAGTAATACCAGTGGCAACCCTGTCCGCCCGGAGTATGACCTAGGGTGTCAAAAACCTATAGCCATCCCGTCCGCCCGGAATATTATTATTCTCTTTATTTCCTCCGAAGTCATCTAACTCCGATGAATTCAACTCATGCTCTACATTTCCTCCAGTGAGGATATGAAACATATCATAATCAGACATGGAATGTAAGTACACACTAAACATTATGTCTTTTATATTTATAATATCACACCATAAATTATCTCTTAACTCTCCTGTATAATCACATTGTAGAAATATATGGGTGGCTATATCACTGTACATAAAGCCACATCAGGGGCGGGTCCAGGTGAGGGCGTAATGGGCGTACGCTCCCCCTTTTCAAAAAAAATAAAAAAAATAAAAAAATATCGTAATTTGCTAATATTGTATTGAATATGGCAATTTATCATATTCATTAATTAAACACATACTCTGATAATAAATGTCAAACCCTGACATTTTAACTATAAAATATACATGCTCCAAGTCAAGAACCGTTACATTAGTGCATTTCACAATTATTTCATGTTTTTTAGCAAAAAAAAAAAGTCCATTTTGTTTTCGCTTCGCTCCGCTCGGCGACAGATTTTATTCTACGCCCCCTCTTTCAAATATCCTAGAAACGCCCCTGCACATTTATGACATAATTCTTCACCCTCACACTCTCTGATAGTTAGTGACATCTTGGGGTGTCAAAAACCTATAGCCATCCCGTCCGCCCGGGGATCTGAACCACACCAGTATACGCGTCCATCTCTATTTTTGCCGGTGTTGGACTTGTCCCAGAAGGCCCCCACAGTGATGGCCTGTCCTTTACCGAATAAGGAGCGGCCATGTGCAACTAGCGGGCCGCGCACTGTATGACCCATTTCAGCCAAACCTGCGACAACATCTAGCGAAATACCGTCCTCCACCGACACGTAGCTCTCGTCGTACCTGAAGAAATAAGGTTAAATATAAAAAAAATATCAGTTACTCAGAAATATTAGTTCTCTAGAGATTTTTGCAGACATGTTCATTTAAACAGGCTATTTCGAGTGCAAACCATGTTAATGGTCTGTACTTTTAACCTACAACGACCAAGTAATTATAAATAGTTAACGTGCATGTCATTGTTATCGTGAACACCGAAAGTATCACAATGTTTTAGTAAGGTATTGATGCAGCGCCAGGTCACTAAAGTTTTGTTTTGGTTATACGAGAAACACACGTGTGTTGCTGCACAGTTCACTGGGTGACAGGGCTTACCATTGGCGATGTGAACAAACACATTCTTGTCTTACAATAAAAACAATTAATCGAGTGAAAATTGCTGATCGTCACATAATCAATTTAGTTGATAGATAAATGAAAATAATTAAATCAAAATATTTTGAATTGGGATGCTTTTATATACACTTTTATATACACTTATATACACTTTTATATACACTTTTGTATACACATTTATATACACTTTTATATACACTTTTATATACATTTATATACACTTTTATATACACTTTTATATACACTTTTGTATACACTTTTTTATACACTTTTATATACACTTATATACACTTTTATATACATTTTTATATACACTTATATACACTTTCATAAACACTTTTATATACACTTATATACACTTTTATATACACTTTTGTGATGATTTTGACACTTGCTGATCACGCTTAATGTGGTTTAATAATAAAAACAAGGATTAACGATATCTCAATACGGTTGACAACGTCGTTAAAGGACCAATTCAACAGATTTGACGGATATGTTTTTCACATCTCCACTTTTTCCCTTTCTTTCAATCTTCCATCTTCAAAGAATATAAATGAACAAAATATGGGCTCATATTGTCATAACTGTGAAGAGGGCTTAAATATTTAAAGTGGAAAATTTTGTCTTCTGATCCATTTGATTTTTATGACAAAAGAACATATCAATAATTGCGCGTGATATCAAATTAAATTTTGCTGTTTTCAAAATAAACTCCCTCTATTTTACCAGTTTAGTTTAAAACACTTTAGAAAAATACTTTAGAAAAATACCAAAAGTTTTGCCAAATCCTTTATACATGTACAACGTTATATTGAGTGGATTGCTGGAAATGTTAAATTGTCAATTCAAATAGAACTGAAAGTTGTCGGTGAAAAGTATTTAAAAGAATTGAAAAAACATAGATTTCGTTTTAAAGAAAAAAAAAAGTCAATAAGCTAGTATGTATCGTGTGCGCTGGTATCCGAATTTTACTGAAGAAAATGAGGCGATCAAATAGAAACTTACCCATATCCTCCTCCGACACAAATTCTTGGCTGGTCTAAAGCCTGCTGTGGATTCATACCGAACTCCAGCATGTTCAGTAGAACCTGTACGTGGCCTTGAGGCTGCATATAACCTCCCATAACACCGTAACTCATTACCAATTCTCCTGTAAATAAAGATCAGCTAACTCATTACCAACTCTCCTGTCTATAAAGGGCAACTAACTCATTACCAACTCTCCTGTAAATAAAGGGCAGTTAATTCATTACCAACTCTCTTGTCAATAAGGGGCAGCTAACTCATTACCAACTCTCTTGTCAATAAAGGGCAGCTCACTCATTACCAACTCTCTTGTCAATAAAGGCCAGCTGCTACCTCATTTCCAACTCTCCTGTCAATAAAGGTCAGCTAACTTATTACCAACTCTCTTGTCAATAAAGGTCAGTTAACTCATTACCAACTCTCCTGTCAATAAAGATCAGTTAACTCATTACCAACTCTCCTGTCAATAAAGGTCAGCTAACTTATTACCAACTCCCTTGTCAATAAGGGGCAGCTATTTCATTACCAACTCTCCTGTTAATAAAGGTCAGCTAACTTATTACCCACTCTCTTGTCAATAAAGGCCAGCTGCTACCTCATTTCAAACTCTCCTGTCAATAAAGGTCAGCTAACTTATTACCAACTCACCTGTCAATAAAGATCAGTTAACTCATTACCAACTCTCCTGTCAATTAAGATCAGCTAACTCATTACCAACTCTCTTGTGAATAGAGATCAGCTAACTCATTACCAACTCTCCTGTCAATAAAGATCAGCTAACTCATTACCAACTCTCCTGTCAATAAAGATCAGTTAACTCATTACCAACTCTCTTGTGAATAAAGATCAGCTAACTCATTACCAACTCTCCTGTCAATAAAGGCCAGCTGTTACCTCATTACCAACTCTCTTGTCAATGAAGATCAGTTAACTCATTACCAACTCTCTTGTCAATAAAGGCCAGCTAACTCATTACCAACTCTCTTGTCAATAAAGACCAGCTAACTCATTACCAATCCCCCTGTCAATAAAGATCAGCTAACTCATTACCAACTCTCCTGTCAATAAAGGACAGTATACTCATTACCAACTCTCCTTTCAATATAGGGCAGCTAACTCATTACCAACTCTCCTGTCAATAAATATCAGCTAACTCATTACCAACTCTCTTGTCAATAAAGGGCAGCTAACCTCATAATCAACTCTCTTGTCAATAAAGATCAGCTAACTCATTACCAAATCTCCTTTCAATATAGGGCAGCTAACTCATTACCAACCCTCTCGTCAATAAAGGGCAGCTAACTTCATAACCAACTCTCCTGTCAATAAAGCTCAGTTAACTCATTACCAACTAACTCATTACCAACTCTCTTGTTAATAAAGGCCAGCTAACCTCATTACCAACTCTCTTGTGAATAAAGATCAGCTAACTCATTACCAACTCTCTTGTCAATAAAGGGCCGCTAACCTCATAACCAACTCTCTTGTCAATAAATATCAGCTAACTCATTACCAAATCTCCTGTCAATAAAGATCAGCTAACTCATTACCAACTCTCTTGTCAATAAAGGGCAGCTAACCTCATTACCAACTCTCTTGTCAATAAAGGGCAGCTAACTTCATAACCAACTCTCCTGTCAATAAAGGCCACCTAACTCATTACCAACTCTCTTGTCAATAAAGGGCAGCTAACTCATTACAAACTCTCTTGTCAATAAAGGACAGCTAACCTCATTACGAACTCTCCTGTCAATAATGGCTAGCTAACTCATTACCAACCCCCCTGTCAATAGAGATCAGCTTACTCATTACCAACTCTCCTTTCAATATAGGCCAGCTAACTCATTACCAACTCTCTTGTCAATAAAGATCAGCTAACTCATTACCAACTCTCTTGTCAATAAAGGCCAGCTAACCTCATTACCAATTATCCTGTCAATAAAGGTCAGCTAACTTATTACCAACTCTCCTGTCAATAAAGATCAGTTAACTCATTACCAACTCTCTTGTTAATAAAGGCCAGCTAACTCTTTACCAACTCTCTTGTTAATAAAGGCCAGCTAACTCATTACCAACCCCCCTGTCAATAATGGCCAGCTAACTCATTACCAACTCTCTTGTCAATAAAGATCAGTTAACTCGTTACCAAATCTCCTGTCAATAAAGATCAGCTAACTCATAACCAACTCTCTTGTCAATAAGGATCAGCTAACTCATTACCAACTCTCCTGTCAATAAGGGGCAGCTATCTCATTACCAACTCTCCTGTCAATAAAGGTCGGCTAACTCATTACCAACTCTCTTGTCAATAAAGATCAGCTAACTCATTACCAACTCTCTTGTCAATAAAGGGCAGCTAACCTCATTACCAATTATCCTGTCAATAATGGCCAGCTAACTCATAACCAACTCTCCTGTCAATAAAGATCAGCTAACTCATTACCAACTCTCCTGTCAATAAAGGCCAGCTAACTCATTACCAACTCTCCTGTCAATATAGGCCAGCTTACTCATTACCAACTCTCCTTTCAATATAGGCCAGCTAACTCATTACCAACTCTCTTGTCAATAAAGATCAGCTAACTCATTACCAACTCTCTTGTCAATAAAGGGCAGCTAACCTCATTACCAATTATCCTGTCAATAATGGCCAGCTAACTCATAACCAACTCTCCTGTCAATAAAGATCAGCTAACTCATTACCAACTCTCTTGTCAATAAAGGGCAGCTGCTACCTCATAACCAACTCTCTTGTCAATAAAGATCAGCTAACTCATTACCAACTCTCCTGTCAATAAAGATCAGCTACTTCATTACCAACTCTCTTGTCAATAAAGGGCAGCTGCTACCTCATAACCAACACTCTTGTCAATAAAGATCAGCTAAGTCATTACCAACTCTCCTGTCAATAAAGATCAGTTAACTCATTACCAACGCTCTTGTGAATAAAGGCCAGCTAACTCATTACCAACGCTCTTGTGAATAAAGATCAGCTAACTCGTTACCAACTCTCTTGGCAATAAAGGTCAGCTAACTCATTACCAACTCTCTTGTAAATAAAGGCCAGCTAACTCATTACCAACGCTCTTGTGAATAAAGGCCAGTTAACTCATTAACAACTCTCCTGTAAATAAAGACCAGCTAACCTCATTGCCAAATCACTTATTATCAAATCTTTTTACCACGTTTCCTGTAAAAAGAAGGGTTTTATTTCAAACCTTAATAATGGAGGCAAACATTAGTATGTGTTCCTGACCGGGATGACATCAAATTACCATTTATATATCTAGATATATTGTTGACATACGAAACCTCAAACGAAGTATATTGGTTAAAAGAACTTATTGATAGAAGCTTTAAGTATATAACGTGAATATTTCTGGTAAAGCAATGGGGTAAGTACCTTTTTTCTATTATCTTTGCAATATGTTTTGTAGTTCAGCACTATCTCTAATATTATCAAAACTGTCATGGACAGGATCTCGTCTATTCTTACGACATTTTGGTGTCGGAAGTCAGTTTAAACAAGCAACTGCTGAATTCATGTTGGGATATTCATGCAGTATAACCTTTAACAAACCTACGTTGAGTGTCATCTGCTTAAACGAAAAGGTTCAGTTCCGTGAAAAGTTTTCTCTATAGAGAAGCACGTGGCATCTGTCTGGAACTAGCGTATACTTAGGAAAAACCTCAGATAAAATTTATTAAGGCCCCGTGCCACTTATTGCAACATAAATTACATTGTGCTTTACCATTACAAAAAGCTCGCAAAAAGGAGTGGATCTGGGCAGATAATCAGCAACCTGCTTTTGAATCAAAATAAAATTCCATTTAAAACAGTGACACTCGCTTGGGAAGCTTTCATCCTCTGAATAACGACGCTTTGAGCGAAGCCCTTGGAGCTGAGCTACAGTTGTAAGATAGGAACAGTGCGGGCTGAAGAACGTCGTAATGTATGCCAGCACATGATTGACAACACCACAGAGCACGCACTGTATTACCAGGAGAGAACTGCCTACGATTGTAACATTGACGAGACTTAACACCAACTCGGACACCCTTTTTATCAAAATTTCTTCATGGCTATTGAAGTTCAAATGTATAGAGCAAAAATCAGTGCAAAGTTTAATCTATCTATATGTATATGCCTTAATCATTGATAAAAACAGGGGATTTGTGGGTATATAAGGCACAAGTAGGGCTGAAGTAACACCTTAAGAGTTGATGGTCTAAGACTGCTCCAAAACTACAAGTCTTACATACAGATCGACTCAGTTCATTCTTACTACACTACCAATCCATGCCAATTTCTTATCACCTCTCCTGGCAGTTGAGAACATCGTATTGTTACCTGTGTTTGAATCAGTTAACATGGCGGGGATTATGGTGTGATACGGACGTTTATTTGGGGCGATCACATTTGGGTGCTCTGGATCCAATGAAAATCCACTCCCTCGGTTCTACAACACAGACATGAAATACACTAACACCTGGTCAGTATATGGATCAAGGTACACTGGAATATGTAACAATAACAACCTTCTCTTTCATGAAAATTGTTCTAGACGATAGATATTTGGTATGTTGACTCAAACAGCTTTTGCTTCGAAATACAAATATTGCCATTGATTGTGATGATGTCACTACACAGATACTCAAACAGGTGTACGCTCTATTTAATGTAACACCGACGTTTCCTAACGGAATTCGAAGTGTTGCATTTCATAGTAAGGCTTTCACTTGATGCATACACATTGACAAGATGTTTCCAACTTAGAATGTTAACCATTGGCGTAGTGAAAACAGTGCCAAATACAAGAATAAAATAACTTGTGTAATGTAAATCTAAAAATGATCAGCTATAATTGTTTTATACATTCCCGTAGTATACATAATCCAATTTTCTTAAATATATGCATATAAGCTGCACAGAACACTTTATTTCTTCTGGTATCGAACTAGATATCATGATGAAAGAAAAAGATACTTCAGACGTTAGTTTAGTCGTAAATGTCATCAAAGGGTGTGTAAGAGGAGCGTTAGTAGACAGATTCCAAGATAACCTTCCCACCACACTGACTATATGATGATACCGACGTTACACTCCTTACCTGTAACGTAAAGCCACACCCCTCGGGAACGATGGCCGAGCCGAACCCCATGAAGTTGCTGTTGATGAAGGAGCATGCATTGCCTTGCGAGTCTGCTGTAGTGAAGTACACAGTGTCGGGGCCAATGTTCAAATCGCCTCTTTTCACATTCGCCATAGCCCTGTGTGCACAAACCACAAAGAAAGTGATTGATGTTCATCTTGATCTGTTGAATTAGACGGACTCTTTGCTTAACTTAAACAAATGCCGTCTGATAACGTTTCTAGTCTACAGTCGAACCAAACGCAACCTGAGTATCATCTTGATCATCTAGATCTAGATACTATTAGTCCATGTATTATTTAGACTTACAACTGTTAGTCCACGTATTATCTAGACCAACAACTGTTAGTCCATGTTTTATCTAGACCTACAACTGTCAGTCCACGTATTATCTAGACCTACAAATGTTAGTCCATGCTTTATCTAGACCTATCATAGTTGTCCATATATTATTAAGATCTACAACTATTAGTCCGTGTATTATCTAGACCTATCAAAGTTAGTCCGGGTATTATCAAGACCTACAACTGTTAGTCCGTGTATTATCTAGACCTACAATTTGTACAACTGTTAGTCCGGGTATTATTTAATTAAGGCCTACAACTGTTAGTCCGGGTATTATTTAGACCTAGAACTGTTAGTCCGTGTATTATTTAGACCTAAAACTGTTAGTCCGTGTACTATTTAGACCTACAACTGTTAGTCCGTGTATTATTTAGACCTACAACTGTTAGTCCGTGTATTATTTAGACCTAAAACTGTTAGTCCGTGTATTATCTAGACCTACAATTTGTACAATTGGTAGTCCGTGTATTATTTAGACCTAAAACTGTTAGTCCGTGTATTATTCAGACCTACAACTGTTAGTCCGTGAACTATCTAGACCTACAACTGTCAGTCCGTGTTTTATATAGACCTACCATAGTTAGTCCGGGTATTATTTAGACCTACAATTTGTACAATTGTTAGTCCGTGTATTATCTAGACCTACAACTGTTAGTCCGTGTATAATTCAGACCTACAACTATTAGTCCGTGTACTATCTAGACCTTCAACTGTTAGTCCGTGTATTGTCTAGACCTACATTTTGTACAACTGTTAGTCCGTGTATTATCTAAACCTACAACTGTTAGTCCGTGTATTATTCAGACCTACAACTTTTAGTCCGTGTACTATCTAGACCTACAACTGTCAGTCCGTGTTTTATATAGACCTACCATAGTTAGTCCGTGTATTATATAGACCTACAACTGTTTGTCCGTGTACATGTATTATCTATACCGACAACTGTAAGTCGGTGTATTATCTAGACCTACAACTGTTAGTCCGTGTATTATCTAGACCTACAACTGTTAGTCCGTGTATTATTCAGACCTACAACTTTTAGTCCGTGTACTATCTAGACCTACAATTGTCAGTCCGTTTTTTATATAGACATACCATAGTTAGTCCGGGTATTATTCAGACCTACAACTGTTAGTCCGTGTACTATCTAGACCTTCAAATGTTAGTCCATGTTTTATATAGACCTACCATAGTTAGTCCGTGTATTATTTAGACCTACAACTGTTAGTCCGTGTATTATCTAGACCTACAACTGTAAGTCCATGTTTTATATAGACCTACCATAGTTAGTCCGTGTATTATTTAGACCTACAACTGTTAGTCCGTGTATTATCTAGACCTACAACTGTTAGTCCGTGTATTATCTATACCTAAAACTGTTAGTCCATGTTCTATCTAGACCTATCAAAGTTAGTCCGTGTATTATCTAGACCTACAATTTGTACAACTGTTAGTCCGTGTATCATCTAGACCTACAACTGTTAGTCCGTGTATTATTTAGACCTTCAACTGCCAGTCCGTGTTTTATATAGACCTACCATAGTAAGTCCGTGTATTATCTAGACCTACAACTGTTAGTCCATGTTTTATCTAGACCTATCAAAGTTAGTCCGTGTATTATTTAGACCTTCAATTTGTACAACTGTTATTCCGGGTATTATTTAGACCTACAACTGTAAGTCGGTGTATTATCTAGACCTACAACTGTCAGTCCGTGTTTTATATAGACATACCATAGTTAGTCCGGGTATTATTCAGACCTACAACTGTTAGTCCGTGTACTATCTAGACCTACAAATGTAAGTCCATGTTTTATCTAGACCTATCAAAGTTAGTCCGTGTATTATTTAGACCTACAATTTGTACAACTGTTATTCCGGGTATTATCTAGACCTACAACTGTTAGTCCGTGTATTATCTATACCGACAACTGTAAGTCGGTGTATTATCTAGACCTACAACTGTTAGTCCGTGTATTATCTAAACCTGCAACTGTAAGTCGGTGTATTATCTATGCCTACAACTGTCAGTCCGTGTTTTATATAGACATACCATAGTTAGTCCGGGAATTATTCAGACCTACAACTGTTAGTCCGTGTACTATTTAGACCTACAAATGTTAATCCATGTTTCATAAAGACCTACCACAGTTAGTCCGTGTATTATTTAGACCTACAATTTGTACAACTGTTATTCCGGGTATTATCTAGACCTACAACTGTTAGTCCGTGTACTATTTAGACCTACAAGTGTTAATCCATGTTTTATAAAGACCTACCACAGTTAGTCCGTGTATTATTTAGACCTACAACAGTTAGTCCGTGTATTATCTAAACCTGCAACTGTAAGTCGGTGTATTATCTATACCTACAACTGTCAGTCCGTGTTTTATATAGACATACCATAGTTAGTCCGGGTATTATTCAGACCTACAACTGTTAGTCCGTGTACTATTTAGACCTACAAATGTTAATCCATGTTTTATAAAGACCTACCACAGTTAGTCCGTGTATTATTTAGACCTACAACTGACATGTTAGTCCGTGTACTATCTAGACCTACAAATGTTAATCCATGTTTTATAAAGACCTACAACAGTTAGTCCGTGTATTATCTATACCTACAACTGTTTGTCCGTTTATTATTTAGACCTACAACTGTTAGTACGTGTATTATCTAGACCTACAACTGTCAGTCCATGTTTTATTTAGACATACCATAGTTAGTCCGGTTATTATCTAGACCTACAACTGTTAGTCCGTGTATTATCTAGACCTACAACTGTCAGTCCATGTTTTATATAGACATACCATAGTTAGTCCGGTTATTATCTAGACCTACAACTGTTAGTCCGTGTATTATCTAGACCATGCGTTTGATCCATTGATTTAATGCTAGAAGTTTTAACACATCATTAACTTTTCAATATCTTGACTGATACACTACCTGTTGTTTCGAATGAGTTGTCTTCTCTTTTTTGCATACTCTTTAGACAGTAAGGTAGATAGAGGTACGTCTACTTTGGACGGATCAGCACAGTACCACGTGGTATCCGTAAATCCTAGTTTTAAGGCTTCGGTCACAAGGTGAAGGTATTCTGCAGAATTAGCACCAAGATCTGAAAAATATTGAATAAAAAATTGTTGATGAATAAAATCCTTAAATAACAATTTAGGTTTTATAGAGGAGATGTGTATGTCATAGCTAACCTGAAATTTAAAACTTCAAAATGCAATTTGCCTGATTGTTAAATGACCCCATGAATGAGAAAATAATATTTAAATATAAGATTACCTTTTAGATCGTAGGCCTCTAAAATGTTCAAAGCCATTAGAGCAGCCATCCCATGACCATTTGGAGGTATTTCCCAAAGACGATAACCCCGATAGTCAGTGCTGATTGGCTCCTCGTATGTCGTCACGTGACTCTGTAAATCGTCCAAAGTCATAACACCTCCAAACTTCTCAACAACATCGACGATGGCCTTTGCGATTCTCCCCTCATAGAAGCCCTTTTTACCCATAGTCCCTAGTTCCTGAAGAAGGATGAAACATTCAATCAAAGGTCAATTATTACAAACAATGGTTTTACGAATTCAAAATGTTTAAGCAGAAAACAAATAAATTACAAAATGTATATCATAATAGTGCAAGTCATAACAGACACCTTTGCTTCCATTTAAAAGAAAAGAGAACATAATAGCTAATCTATTAATTTATTGTCTTTCTTTCACATTCATTTATGCAAATTTATATAACACATATTGACCAAAGGGACTACAGAAATACGTTGAGTATGCCTATTACAGTAATAGTAGCCTTACCCTGAACGTCTGAGCGAGATAGGGGAGTCGCATCACCTGGCCGTACTTAGGAGCCTGACCATCGATCAGTAAGTCACGTCCGTGCTTGTTATTAGGAGTAAGTAACGAATCAGCACCTACAAGTACCAACAGAAACTCTCACGTTATAACAAACGCACACATTATACTAATAACCAGCCTGGTACTATGATACTAATAACCAGTCTGGTACTATGATACTAATAACCAGTCTGGTACTATGATACTAATAACCAGTCTGGTACTATGATACTAATAACCA